CTATTCACTTCTCATGAAAAACTAAAAAAAGTCCTTTCATTAAAGGCCGTTTCACAAAACCGGAATGCAATTCGATAAACTGTATTTCATTTTGTATCGTATTTTTCATGGAATGACCCCTTTTAGGTCCATTACCTCATTGGATGGAACAAACTGTTTTCCTGCATTTCACTGTATACCAACACCACCTGTGCGGGAAGGGCGGCGAGGGCACACTGACCGTCTTATACGAGTAATCATTCTGAAATCGCAACGGTATTCATTTTAATATTGCCGATAACGATGACGATAATAATAATTGCAGCAATAGTATTAGCAGGATTATTAGTGGAAGTAGTAGTTGCAATAGTAGTGGTAATAATAGTAGTAGTATCAGTAATAGCAGTAGTAGTATCGAACTGAGCTATGCTGTTTCACTCTCTTACAATTACCAAAAATGTCTGATCGCTTATGTTGATACGTGCTCTGCCCTGATAAGGGCGTTCACTCAGGCCCGTGACTGACGATCCAAATAAGAATTAGCTGACATTAGGGTTGTTGCTACGTACGCATTCATCTGTCAGTTCCCGTTGATCGTCCAATCACGTGACACAGCTGTTCATGACAGACACTGACTAATACTCATCCAATCCATTTTATCCATGCGCCAGCTTGACCTAATTGTCGGTTATCGTTTAATCTATTGATGTACTCTCACGATCGTTCATTAAATCGTTAACCCGATTCCGGGCCGCACGCCGTCTTGTGTGTTCTGATTTTGTGTTGGGTTACGGGCCCTAAATTACGGTGCATAGCGCGGCGGTTGGAATTCGGTCTTAACAGTCTTAACAAGAATATCGGTTTGCGACGACAAGTATCAAATCCAAGAGCTTTTGATATTTTCTGACGCACTGGTTATCATTATCGGTCGCATCGATCAAGGGGCTGACTATTCAAAATATCGTCCCAGCAGCCAAATCGTTCCATTTTGGTGTTTTCAGGCCAAACTTAATCTTTCCCACCACCTCCTCTCACCTCCATGATTGTTTTTCAATTGTATTGTTTACTTTTACACTCGTTTGAGGACAAACCCTGTGTCGAATATGTCACAATGCACTGTTTGTGATACCAAAAGAAATCAGTCCATAGTTTGCGCGTGGTCGGAACACTGCCGGCTGCCCAGCCCAAAGCACAACCGGAGCACTTGGCTAACCAAAGGTTGGCCCACAAGGCAGCGGGGTGGTGTGTGTTTGCCCATTGAGGGTTGGTGTCTAGTTCATCGGATCATACGCCATTTGCATGAGGCCAACCACCAAACGTATCCAATAAACCTCGATGCCAAATCAAGCCAGGAATTTAGCCACCTCCCCTAGGTAAATTGCCAGCGGTTTACCGACTAGGGCATCGTTCTGATGTTAGCTTTGCGTCTAAATAATGGCACTGCTGTCTCAGCAGAAACTACTTAAGATTCTTGATGTGCAATCGAAGAGTCCCACCGATAATCTAAGACGCACAGACCCCACCACACTGCTGTTTTCGGAGGCACTTATTGTATAAAATGAAAAGAAGTTAAACATAGACGCAGATAAATAACCTCGAATAATCTAACGATTAGGCAGATCGTCAGAGAGAGGAAGCTCGCATTGTGCTTTTAAAACTGACCACAATTTCCAACTCAATCCACTTCAATCCCGAAGGATTGTATTCTTTAAATTCAAATATTCAGTTCCAACTGAATTATCATCAAATCACGTGATTTTATGTGGAAGGAATTTCCAACCGTTTTAAACAGATATATATATATATGTATGAAATACAAGCACAATAGTAAACCATCAGTCAAATCCCAAGAGGTTAGTTCGTAGGTAATTACTTTAAGTTTATCAACCATATAATCAACAAATCACTGTGCATAGCCAGGCGTCTCATTCACGCCCTTTTAGAATTCGAGAGTTCCCACCTGTGTCACTTGTATATGTTGTTTTCCAAGAACTAAGCAATGATTGCACGGGAGCCCTATTCTGGTTCCTCCGTGGATAAAGGCGTTTAATGACCTCGGGGTCCATTGTTTAGCTTTTTGTTAGATTTCTTCGCTGCTAAT